TATTATCACCCTCTCCGTAGTATTGAACTAAATAAATTTTGTGCTTCTTTAAATATTTAAAACAGTAAAAATAACATGTTAATTAAAATTCTATCAATAACTATCTGTCAGAGAATGAAATCGAAATGATATAACCATAGAAGCGCCTTTTGATTTTTAGGAACTATTTTTCATGTTTTTTTTTTAATTTTCTCTAAAACGGTATGGAAATTTGGAGAAGTATAAACGAGATTAACCATTTTAGAACAAGCAAATTTTTTTGTCAAAAAATGTCAATAATAAAAAAGTTTTTCCTCTTGTAAAGACAATTCGGGGACATACTGTATATTACGGATATTTTTAAATAAGAAAAAGTTTAAAAAATAAAACAAATTTTGTAAAATACGTTAAAAAACAATATACTTACAATAAATAAAACAAAACGCAATACGTTAATTTTGAAACTATACATTTTAAAACTAAATTAATAATAATACTATGTAAATCAATGTTTCTTATTGTGAATAATGCGAGATACAGATTAGGACTGACTCTGGTCTTTAAAAGTTTCAAAAACAAACAACAGTTTTGATCGATTGAATAAAATAAAAAGGATTTAACAACAAACAACTACGAAGTTTATTCATGAGGATATGTTCTCTGAATGACAATTCGGTAGTAGTTTGTTAAATATCAACCACTATTGTTTAGATCAATCTTTTTTTTATCTCCTTCATTTCAATGTCAAGTTATTTGACTTGCTAAATTAGACCCATGAAAAAAGACAGTTTAGGAGCTATAAAAAGTGATCCTTAGACGAGATAAATTTTATAGTTTGCATCTTGAAGTAGGTATTTCGAAGCATTCGAGAATTGTTAAAGTTTTAAATTAAGAAATAGATAAAAGAAGTTAAGACTACCATTAAAATTGGGGTGTTTGGAACAATTGTTTGCTAAGTTTATTGTCAAATAAATTGAAGATATGTCTGGGAGATAAAATCTTCTAAATTATATTAAAAAAAGAACAAGTGCGAGTCCGTAAAAGACTCTATGTTTTATGATTTAATTACAAACGTATGTTTTTCAAATTTTTCCCTTTTCTTGTAGTACAAGATGGTATTAATTGCCAAATTTCATAGTTTTAGATCAACGGAAAATAACTACAATACTATAAATTTTGATTTCTTTGAGAGTGTCAAAATATACGTTCTCAACTTGATACCTCCACGCGTTCCCGAAATAAAGAATCTTGACAGACAGACGGACGGACTGACTGACAGACAAGAAAGTGATCCTATAAGGATTCCTTCTTTTTTCCCTTTTACACTCAGTTACGTTCCTGAAAAAACCTTGTATATCAAAACAAACATTTTATTAAATAAACTATACAGGGTGAGTCTTAAATAAGTACAAATATTTTAGGAGTTGTGTATTTTGACCCGAGAATCACGTCTATGAGGTTTTTTTTCCTGAAATTCCAGCAATTTCTTTAATTTGATCTCTGATACCATGCAGAAATGTTATATTTAGCTTTGACTCACCCTGTATATATCTACCAAGCAATGTAGCCTTTTTAATATGAAGATTTGTGAAGCGAAAATGTGATTTTTCAATTTTAAGACAATAGTATTTTTTTAATATTTGTCATTTGTGTTTCTTTTTATTATCTTGTTTATTATTTTCTCTTTTTATAATTATATTTTCTTAATAATTTTCAGATTTTTACTATGCCTCTTTTTTTGTTTGACTGGTTTCGAAAAAAAAATACTTATACAGGGTGAGTCTTCAATAAGTGCAAATATTTTTAGGGGTAGTATGTTTCGATCCTAGAAACATGTCTATGAGTTTTTTTTTGACTTTTTTTTAAATTAGTAATTTTTTTAAAAGAAAATTTAAATTTTTTTTTAACTTAAAACTAAATCAAAAAACAATAAAATACATTTTTAAAGAGTTTATTAAAGCCAATAATATTTTTTATACATTTTAAATATTTTCATTGAAAATGTACATTTTATTATCTATAATCTTATCATATTTTTGGTAGGTGGTATTGCGTAGCTGAAATCCGGTGGTATCCTCTTAGTAAACGTAAGCTGCAGGGTAAGCTCCATAAGCATAGGGAGCGCTGTAAGCTGAGACAACGGCTGGAGCTTCAGCTACAAAGCCAGAGCTGTAGGCTGAGAGCACAGGGGCGGCTACAAAATCGGGTTTGGGAGCTGCAAAAGCTACAACCAAGAGAGCGGCAAACACAAGAGCGATCTGGAAAAAAAATCGTAATTTTTATTTGTAATATACTCCCTAGTTCTTATATATTTTCTTGATTAAATATACAAAACATAGAATACTTCATAACACTTTGTATTATATCAAACATAAAATATTATTTGAGTAATAAAACTACTTACGAATTTGAACATTTTGGAGTTGTTTGGTTATTGGTACCTTGATCTGTGCAAGATGCAAATCAAACTATGCTTGAGCATTCTGTTTGTGAAGTATTTATAGTGAATCAGTTGATTGAAAATTGATGAACATTAACATACAGTGCACTGGTGTGAGTTTTTTTTCAAAATGGGTGGGACTTTTTATTTTAAAAAGTATATAGAAAAAACAGGAAGAGAATATGAAGAACTGGTTTTTGATTTATGTTAAGAATAGATTATAGACAATGCACATATCTTGTGTAATTTTCTTGTTATATTCTTCGTTAATACTAAAAAATCTTGATGAACTATTATTTTGTTTACTATTTTATGATATTAATTATATTTATTTACATTTTAATTACTTTTTCGTATTAAATTATACAGGGTTGTTACATACGACACGGAGTATTGTAGCTAAACGATTAGATTTTTACAAATTGTAAGTTTTGGGTTTGTTGAAGGACTATTAGAGCTACAATTTAAAAATATTTTTACAATATACAGAATGTCCCAAATAAATAAAAAAATATCAAAGTTGTATTTTTTTAAAGGGAACACCCTGTATATTATTACATTTTTAGTTTCTACGATTAAAATAAAGGTAAATTTGATTAAGGTTTATTACACTTAAACCTTACTGTTTTTGAAATATTTTCAATTTTGTGAAATTGCAGTAAAAATGTTAAGGCTTCATTTCTCCAAGGTATCATTGTTTTTAATACTAAATAATTACTGAAGTTTATTTATTGATCAGTTATTGTGTTGCAATAAGAAAAATAATACTACCTCATACAGAGTGTCTAAAAATTTATTTCAATTAATTTCTAGATGTGAACGCCAATAACTTGTTTAATTTAAATGGAACGCCCTGAATATTTTAGGAGAATCAGATGCACAATTTAATTGTCTATCAAATTGTATTATACCATTGTTTACCTATCTGTTCAAGTTTTCATCATAGAAAATGCATTTTCTTATAATTTAGACCTCATTTATCAATATACCTATGGAATATTGACATTTTAGATTGTTTTTAAAGCAACAAATGTACAAAATGTAGCAAACCGATAATATTACTAGCCCATTTGTATGCAAAAAGAAAACTATTTAAATCTTTATAAAAGAGTATACCATTAATTAAATATACCACCATTATTTTCGCCGAAATACTAATTAATTACATACTTAATTGTTAATTATTCTAACTAAATGTGGATTTGAGTCAGAAATCAATATAATTATTATTTTATAAGTTATAAAAATGAACGTCTCTGTTGTTATAAATAAGCATTTGTCAAAAAATGAAATATAATTTTTAAGGTGTTACTTTTTACCATACATACAAAACTCAGTTTTTTAGTATTTGGGGCAATTATTATTAATCAACTCAAACAATCAATTAATTTAGTTTGGATACTGGAATCATATTCATTGGTCCTCTTTAACAAACATCTAAACAGTTTTTGTTTATTTTTTAATGAAATAAAGGAACTATATCGACAATATTAGTATCTGTACTTTTTAAAAATTTGGTACATCTTTAAAAATAATCTAAAATGTCAGTATTCCATGGGTATATTGATAAATAAGGTCTAAATTATAAGAAAATGCATTTTCTACGGAAACTTCAAGAGATAGGTAAAAAATGGTATACTACAATAATTTAATAGACAATTAAATTGTGCATTCTAATGAAATATACAGGATGTTCCATTTATATTAAACAAGTTATTGCCGTTTAAAGCTAAGAATTATTTAAAATAAATTTTTAGACACTGTGTACAAGGTAGTATTATTTTTATTAATGCAACATAATAACTGATTAATAAATAAACTTTAGTAAATATTTAGTATTAAAAGCTTTCATACCCTTGGAGATATGAAGCCTTAACATTTTTACTGCAATTTCACAAAATTGAAAATATTTCAAAACAGTAAGGTTTAAGTGTAATAAACCTTAATCAAATTTACCTTTATTTTAATCGTAGAAACTAAAAATGTAATAATATACAGGGTGTTCCCTTTAAAAAATACAACTTTGACTATCAAAACTCTTTTATAAATTATAGCTCTAATAGTCCTTCAACGAACCCGAAACTTACAATTTGTAAAAATCTAATCGTTTAGCTACAATACTCCGTCACAAATTACCTATACTCCGTGTCGTATGTGGTGAACAACCCTGTGAAGATAAAGCAATTTTAACAAATGATATAAAAAGCTAGAACTTTTTTTACGTAAACAGGTGCTCTTCGTTTAGTTCGGAAAGGTAAATGTAAAGGTAATAAACAATTAAAATGGTATTTGTAATATTATTTGTATTATATTATTTAATTATGTAAGCTTCAATGTACCAAAAAAAAAAGAAAAACCAATACAAGAACTGCTGAAATGTCATCAGTTGTAACAAGATACTTATTAATTTCCTGATTGCCTGATTGTTGCGACGTATTAAGACAAGTTATTGTTTTCTATCGGTAAGATAGAAATGAAAAAAAAAACTGGATTATTGGGTACATTGCCACACCTCCGCAAAAATTTGATATTTTAATTTGAATTCGCTATTAGTGCTACTTGTCACTGGATAGTATAAAATAGCTGTGATTTTAATCGATTGGTATCAGTTAGATCCAAAGTCTAATACAACAAACAACCAAAATGTTCAAATTCGTAAGTAGATATACATTTCTTATTTATCTATTTATTTAATTAATAATAATCATTATACATTTATTTATTATTATATTAATATTCCCTAACATTAAGACACACAATAACTTAACACAAATTACTTCTTGAGACCGTTTTTTTTCGATCGTACATGCGTTCAGACTGTTCTATATTTACTTATTTCTTTAGAATTTTATATATTTATTTTTTATACACCTCTTGGCAAGTTATTTATCACTATTAATTTAATAAAACAAAGTAATGTTAATGAAACAAAGCAGTTTTAGTACAAAATCACGAAAATATTAAACAGAAAATTAAATTTTAAATTTATTTAGTTTTTAACTCCGCCATTTTCTGAAAATGACAGCACACGTCACGCAATCTCGGCAATCTTACAGCTTATTTGTAATAATTGATACACATTGCAAATCAGTGATATACTATATATTATAGAATAGAAACTCAATAGAAAATAGTTGGAAAACAGCTTATTCAAATCTACAAACATATTGAAAAAGACAAATCTAGATACAAATGTAAACAAAAGTATTAACAACAAATGACAACAAGTGTCAAATCGTTTGGTCTAAATCATTCCAGATCAGTTGGTCAATCAGTCATCCATAAGAAATTAAAGAGTTTTATTAATTTGATTAAATAATTAAATATTTATTTTACGTTCTTTAGTCAAGATATTAAAATATATACCGGAAGCGTCTCAAAAGCGGCTCAACCCTCTAAATTTTTATTTTTTTAGTTAAAAAAACGAAATTTGGTATTTTAGTATATGACATAAATTAGGATTGATTGACATATTCGATTGTTTTCGGTCACTTCCGGTTTCACAGGAAATGACTACAACTTTTGATTTTTAAACGGCACCCCCGGTATTTTTTTACTTTGTTCGATAGAAAATGTCACTCTAATTTGACATTTTCGCATATGGTTTATTTGAAATTATAACTTGCGGTTCGTAACGAAAATTTGACTTGAAATACCAAGTGTGTGGTTTCAAATTATTCGTAAAAAAATACTTTTTCCAAATATGCCAATGAGCCACCCTCGTTCCATTTGAAAAAATTGAGATACAATTAAAAATACGATTTGAGCAGTTTCTAACTGGCCAGGACAAGACACTAAATACATTAGACGATCAAATCTATTTTTCCAAGGCTCCTTGATGAAGAATTAGTGTTTCTAACATACACATGGCACTCTAGATTGAATTTTAAAAAACAATTTTTTATTAAGCGAGAATGTCAAAAGTTGACATGTGATATGTCATTCTATCCAGAATGTCATTTTCTATCGAATAAAGTAAAAAAATACCAAGGGTGCTATTTAAAAATCAAAAGTTGTAGTCATTTCCGGTGAAACAGGAAGTGACCAAAAACAATTGAATACACCAATCAATCCTAATTTGTGTCATATACTAACATATCAAATCTCGTTTTTTTATCTGAAAAAATAAAAGACGAGAATTTTGAAGACGCACCCGGTACCATCTGGTCAGTTAATCTGCGTGGTCTGTATTTTAATGCATGCGACTTTATACGACAGAGATAAACATAAATGATCGGTTGACAGACAGAGAGACAAAATAAAAAGCGGTATGCGGTGTTGCCGGTTTTTACGTGTGTAGGACAATGCGATAGAAAAAAACTATTTTAAAACTTTTATGTATACTACTTAAATAAAGATAATATATCCAAGCTAAATATAATCTATTACAGCTGTAGTAAAATGAGTAACCTAATTGTGTAAAATAAAGGTCCAACCCTAGATGCAACATTTTTCGTAAACACCTACTTGTGCGGTTTGAAATTTTGATGCAAAATCCGTCAATACCGCATAGAAGAAATATATCAATCCAAATTTATCTCTTTTTAATACATTTAATTTGTCATTAAGTTCTTAGTCTTACACATTAAAATCCGGAACACGCAGTTTCGATGACCAGAACGGTATAAGAGATATAAAAGTTATTATATCTAGGTTTAGTCTTATGGGCGTGCTAAATGCAGGAATATATTTATGAAAAACAAAACTATAACAAATATTTTGAAGTATTTTACGTCAATTTCGAATTTATTCGTGATCAAAGTATTGTTTACTATGGTTTATTTAAAAAGTAAAAAAATAAATATTTTTTAAAAATTTCTCTATATCGCTTTACAAATACAAATACGGACTATTTTAACAGAATGTGTTTGTTTATCTGTGTACCCCGTGCGTAATACTACGAAAAATAGTTATTTACCGTTTTAAGTCCCGTTGTTTACTAAAACCTTTTCAGTTTGCAGGAAAATTACTACATGAAAATTTTATTTCAGCTTGAAAAACCAACAATAAGGACCCAATTTACATATTTTTCGATTGAGAGAAAAACATTTTTTTAATTTTAAATTAGTTCATTAAATGCATATTTAATAAATTTATTTACTTAACATTTTCTTTGTTTTTTCAAGAAAAATCGATATAACTTTAATATTAATTTGTATTTAAATTTTTGAGGATTTGCGAAGGTTATTAATTTTTTTCAATATTTTTCACTCTTTTCTTTGCTTTATTATTTTAATCTATTTAATACCGGATGGTCGAAAAAAAAACAGCGTCCAGTTAGCTTAGAAATGACGCGATCAATGACATTTACCATATAATTTTACATGTAAGGAAGAAGCTTTAATTTATTTTTAGCTTATTTTAACACTATTTTTTATTTCTTTACAGTTCGCTATTGTCTTCGCTGCCATCTTGGCCGTAGCTTTCGCCGTTCCCACCCCTGACCCTGAAGCCAAACCAGCAGTGGTAGCTGCTTACAGCGCACCCTACGCTTACTCCGCCCCTGTTGTGTCCGCTTACGGAGCCGTACCCTACGCTGCCGCCGCCTATGGAGCTCCTGTAGTATCAGCCTACAGTGCTCCATACGCTTACTACAGATAGATGACATCTTGAGCTGGCTGTATCTTTTGGAAAATTAAACAATGACTCTATTTTATTTTTCTACTTTTTGTAAAAAAAACTCTTTTTTTTTGTAAAATTTAAATTCTTCAATTTTTTTCCGCAAATTTAAAAATGAAATAAATTAAAATTCAATAAAAAAAAATAAAAAAAAATGTGTTATTTTATTTCCGTATGCAATTTATGAAGTGTTTAGGTTTTTGATTTATTCCATTTGCTGGAATGATATCATACAGGGTGATCTAGTTTCTAGTTTTAAAACGTCAACATTAAGATTATTATTGAGATTTATGTCAACACATTGGGCAATAAGAAGCATACTGGCGTTTAAAGTAAAAAAACGCAACGGAAAATTTTTTGTCAAATTGAAAGTCTTCTATTTTGTTTATTTTTAGCCATATTTTCATAATTTTTTAGCAAATTGTATACAGGGTCGCTTTTATGTATGGCAAATGTCGATTATTAGATAAAATAGGAGCTACTGCAAAAAGTTAAATACAAAAGTATAACTTTTAACAAGACAAGGTGGTCTTTGATAGTTATATCTGATGTACAGGGTGTCCCACTAAGAATAGCTCTCGGCTGTATCTCGGAAAGTATTAGCCGTAGGGGCTGCGAAAAAAAAATATTTATAACTAAAGTGGCTATGGGAAATTGCTGGAAATTATTTTCAAGTTTGTAGAACGACCGCTAGGGGGCGCAACTGCAACAAAAAATAAGGAAACGGAGTTTTTACACAATTTTGCTTAGATAAGGTGTACTATAAGTAATAGCTTCATAATCTTCAGTAAATTTTGAATATTTTTTGTTAAAGCCATTTTCCCCTATCTACCAAATTAAAGTGGTGGGGGAAGGTTAGATCTGTTTTTATTTAAATATTAATAACTCTGGACTGGATAATCGGAACCCAACAATCGAGGGCTCGTTTGAAAGAGCGTTTCTTACTCTATATTGTACCATACAAATAATAATAATAAGCTTTTAAACCTAGACGCTAGGGGGCGTTGTCTTACAATTTAACAAACATTGCGCGTTTTTTCAAAAAAATTAAATGCAATAGTATATGTAATTTTAGCTGATAGTAAAGAGTAGTAAAAGCTTAAAAAGTCAGCGAAAAGCAGTATTCTTTCAATGCGAAGATATTAGCAAAATTATAATAAATACCAAAAAATAAGCCCTTAATTACTTTATTTTTACAACACGGTATCAGTAGCCCTCTTAATTATTCCCATTCTAACAAAAAATAAGATAAAAACAGTTAGTTTATTTTAAAATCGACGAAATACCAGAATACCATAATACCAGAGGTATTAATATCTAATAATTAAGATATTAATAACAATGAACAAGAAACGATGATTCAGTGAAGTCATGGTAGGCTTTGGAAAAAAGTTGCTTTTGACGTAATAGTATAAACGTCAAATTGTTATTAGATCAACATTTTGATAGTCTTATCAGCGTTTTTTATCTTTTGATTGCTTTTTCAAAATGCCAATAACTTCAACTATTTCAAATAATAAAGGTCATTTTGAAAAAGCAATTAAAAGATAAAAAACGCTGATAAGACTTTGTTGATCTAATATCAATTTGACGTTTATACTATTACGCCAAAAGCAACTTTTTTCCACAGCCTACTATGACTTCACTGAATCGTCGTTTCTTGTTCACTGTTATTAATATCTTAATTATTAGATGTTCTGGTATTTCGTCGATTTTAAAATAATCTAACTGATTCTATCTTATTTCTTTGTTAGAATGGGCATAATTAAGATGGCCACTGATACCGTGTTGTAAAAATAAGGTAATTAAGGCGTATTTTTTGGTATTTATTATAATTTTGCTGTTTATTAAAATATCTTCGGTTTGAAAGAAGATATCAAAATACGGTTTTCGCTAACTTTTCAAGCTTTTACTACTTTTTACTATCAGCTAAAATTACATATACTATTGCATTTAATTTTTTTGAAAAAACGCGCAATGTTTGTTAAATTGTAAGACAACGCACCCTAGCGTCTACGTTCAAAAGCTTATTATTATTGTTTATATGGTACAATATAGAGTAAGAAACGCTCTTTTAAACGAGCCCTGGCTTGTTGGATTCCGATCATCCAGTCCAGAGTTATTAATATTTAAATAAAAACAGATCTAACCTTCCCCCACCACTTTATTTTGGTTGATAGGGGAAAATGGCTTTAACAAAAAATATTCAAAATTTACTGAATATTATGAAGCTATTACCTACAGTACACCTTACCTAGGCAAAATTGTGTAAAAACTCGATTTTCTTATTTTTTGTTGCAGTTGCGGCCCCTAGCGGTCGTTCTACAAACTTGAAAATAATTTCCAACAATTTCCCATAGCCTCTTTAGTAATAAATATTTTTTTCCGTAAACCCTACGGCTAATACTTTCCGAGATACAGCCGAGAGCTTTTCTTAGTGGGACACCCGGTACATCGTTACACATCGATAGTTATATCTGAAAATCATGAAAATAGGGCTAAAAAATATAATATTTTAAATTTCAACGAGAACAAAGCATTTATTTAGTAAAAAAATAATTATTAAACAGATATCAGCGAATTATTTTAAATTAAAAGTGAAATTACCATAATAGAATGCGTTAGATTAATGAAATAAAATGTTATGGGCTGCATAAAATTGTTTAGTTAGTTTAAACCTCCTGGGGTTTAAATTTTCCATCAGGTTTTGGCATAAAATTTTCTACGAAATTTTTCCACGCCAACTTTCCCAGTAACGAATATATCTCCCACCTGGGTCGTTTACTGCAATATTTCCACCGTTCATTTTAATATAGCCCGCTAATTTTCTTTTACCCGAACGCTCAAGCCAAGTTTCTGGGATAATCTGGAAAGGCGGGAACTCCCGCAGCTGCATTAAATGTTATCTAGCCGTGCATATTCTCTCAGAAGAGTAATCAAAAAGACTGGAAAATCGTTTTATTTGTCTCCTTCGCACGAAATGGTATTTGTCGAACGTCTGATGCATGAAAATAAATCTAGTTAGGGAAACCTTTGGATTTAATGGCTTAAAATGAGTTTGTGGTAATGAAAACCAACCACTTCAAATGCAAAAAAATGCAACGGAAAAGTTTTTCGTAAAATTTTAAGTATTATATTTTTGCCCTATTTTTATGAATTTTTTACCAAAATGTATACAGGGTGGTCCGAACTGTATTCCGGAAACTTCGGCAGCATATTCTGCAGATAAAAATAAGTAAAAAAGTTCGTTTAAAGGTATGTCCCAAAACGCTTAGTTTCGGAGATACAGGGTGCAGAAGTTTAATTTTTATTTAGATTTTTTCCAAATAATTTCTGAAGTAACGTGAATATTTGGATGAAAATTGGTGTCGGGAAGTTTTTTGGCATGAGAAATTTGGTTTTGATTAGCGATGGGAACTATCGAATGAATTAGACTATCGAATGGTTACTGAATGAATGATTTCAACTATCGAATGGTTTCATTCGAATAAAATCATTCATTCATTTGTATACTAAAGCATATGTGACAACCTCGCCGTGCGACTAAATGGTTATCGTTAAGCCACGACTATCGAATGCTTTTGATAAATGAAATTTAGTATTCGTTTGATTTTTGTCTGCGTCAGTGCATTATTAGTTCTTCCAAATTTTTATAACTTGCCTTCTAAATACTGTGCTATCTTTGCGTTTATTAAAATATTTAAAATACTAAAGTAGTAGTATTTTTTTTTAATTGACAATTGTGTACGTGTGCAGTGGTCAAAATTTTTCCGAAAATTTGTGTGATTTTCCGATCTTTCAATTATTTAATTTTATACGGTATATGGTCTATTTTTTTTAATGGAAAATTTTGAGAAGTAAAAATTTTTAAGAGAGATAAGGTGAACTTACAATTAATTTTAAAAATACATATGTATTTGTATTTTAGATATTTTAGTAATATGAATTAGTTGAACTTAATAATCATATTTAAGTAATGTGGTAATGTGGTTATAAGCTTGTTATAAGTAAATGGTTATCGAACTCAAATTTTGGGATGAGAAAATTAAATTGATTGATTAAAGTTTTACACGTGCCAATTTAAAAAAAAAGTTAACGATATTTGTATTTTCTTTATGCTAATTCTCTTACATGTAGATTTTTGCGGAAAAATATTTCATTTATTTTTTAAAGTAAATGCCAGTAAAAGCAAATATTATTTTTAAATACTAATACAAAGTAATAAAAAGTAATACACATATATAATTTTGATTTCTAATTTTTTATTTATATTTTTCTTCTATTACACTGCATGCTTAGAAAATTAATAAATGTTTATATTTCATGATTTTAAAATTTGTTGTTAATATAACGAATTAGTTCTGTAATTATTATTATTTAATAAACCAACGTTGCCAAAAAAATTTAGAGACTATATTATTTTTAAATAGGATCTAATATAAATAATTTTGACTTCTAATTTGTTGTTTATATTTTGCTACTACTTAAAATAATGTTTATATTAAATGATTTTAAATTTTGGTGTTAATAGGTATAACAAATTATTACTGTTATTATTATTTATTAAACCTGTTTTGCTTAAAAACATTAAAAATCATTGTCCTATATCCAAAATAAAAAGTATTATTGCAGTGTAACAACAGAATATTAATAAAAAACATGCAAAATATATAGTTATACTATCCCTAACTAATTATAATACCAAAGAATAATATTCTTTGCTAATACCAACTAATACGAATATACGGCAACAGCGCCGTTCATAATGTATTTTCTGTGTAAATACTAGCACATCAATAAAAAAAAGGTGTCCTTATCTTTATCTGACTCAAAATCAAAGATGCCGGCTTTTTTCATAACATTGCCACCGAGCGCCGATCGCTGTCGGGTTTCTAGGAAAGAAACCTACGTCGCCGGGCGACAACTAAAATCCAGTTTATATATTTTATTATAATCGATCCTGACGAATAAATGAATTTTACAAATGAATGAATTTTATAAATGAATGGTTTTTGCTGCCGAATTAATATATTTCAAGGCAGATGACGCATCTATTCGATATTTTTATTCGAATAATTTTCGACGAATGTTTTC